GGGGAGGGGAGAGAGAACACCTACCATTCTCAGGACAGTAGACGGACTTCCGGGACAGCCTTGCACAATTCAGCACCAAGGACCACCCCAGCACCCGGGCTCCTGCTGTTTTACATCCCCGTTCCTGCCCCCAGGCCCACCCTTCCTGGCAAATCATCATCAAGCCACTCTCTGGGCATTGTCATTTTGAGCGGAAGACAATCACTGGGGAGCAGATGGCAGAGCAAATAAGAGCCTGAGCTCTCCTGTTTTTGGACCTAGACCCAAACCCAGCTGCAGCACCCAGTAGCAATAGCTCCAGTTCCAGAGAACAGGAAGTTCGAGAGGGGGTTTCAAGATGAGGCTGGGAAGTGTTCTTGCCAGCAGGGAACCTAAACAGACCAGCGGAGAGGAAGGAGGTTAAAGAACAAGAAAGAAGTCTATTAAATAAGCAAAGACTCTCTGTCTTTGGTGGTGGGGTGGGGACTGCGGGGAGATGCGCGAACAGGGGACAGGGCGGTCACCCCACAACTCAAGGACTGTCCCTTGGCAAGCAGCTGTGAAGTGGGATAAAAACCTTGTCTACTCTCAAAGTAAGGCTGAGCAATAAATAAAATACTGGCTCACGGCACCTGCTAACTGCTGCTCCTGTTGTTACACCTTGTAGGTGGTCTTCGTGTGTTTTTGTTGTTGTTGTCATTGTGTTTATTTTTGTCCTGTCTGTCACACAGGAGTCCAGGTCAGGCAACCATCCCTCGGATCAGAGCCCAAAGAAATGCCGTGGCCAGCGGCAGCACTAGTGAGCTCCCGCCACAAGGGAGCTTCGTCAGTTTTCCAGGAAACAGCAGACCCCAGAGACAGCCTGTTGACCTGTTTTAGTCATGTGCTGCCCTTAGGACATAGGGCCCTTCTTTGCCCTGTTGGTGCACTAAGATTCTCATACTAGATCGTTTTAAACCTGTGGAGGACACGGGTAGCTCACACCTATAATCCTAGCTACTCAAGAGGCTGAGATCTGATGATCGCAGTTCAAAGCCAGCCCACACAGGAAAGTCCCTGAGAGACTCTTATCTCCAATAACACCCCCCCCATCAAAAACCGGAAGTGGCGCTGTGGCTCAAGTGGTAGAGGGCTAGCCTTGAGCTGAAGAGCTGAGGGACAGCACCCAGGCCCAGAGTTCAAGCCCCACAACCGACTAAATAAATAAAATAAAAATAAAGCTGTGAGCAAGGAGGACCTCAAGCCAGCCAGGCCTCAGGCTTTTTTTTTTTCTCTCTCCCTAAAAGTTACCAACATGACATTGTAGTTGTAGTTGAGGGTCTCAGCACCATTTATAAAGCACTCTAAATTGTTCACGATCATGAGACTCCACAGACTTTCTTAGCTTGGTGTGCTGTCCAGTAACAACACACTCTGTGTCACTTGCAGGAAGTCGCCAAGGAGGAGGGCTGGGGGGTGGAGGAGGCGGGCGGGGCACAGCACGCACTGGCTGCGGAGGGCTGTCTCCTGTGTCTGACATTGAGACAAAACCCTGGGCATGGGAAGGTGGCTCAGTGGTAGAGCCCTAGCCTTGCATGCATGCGGCCCTGGGTTCAATTCCTCAGCATCACATAAGCAGAAAAAGCCGGAAGTGGTGCTGTGGCTCCTTGCATGCATGCGGCCCTGGGTTCAATTCCTCAGCATCACATAAGCAGAAAAAGCCGGAAGTGGTGCTGTGGCTCAAGTGGTAGAACACTAGCCTTAATCTGAAGAGCTGAGGGACAGCACCCAGGCCGAGAGTTCAGGCCCCACAACAGACCAAAAAAAAAAGCAACCCTGGATGTGGACAGTAGAAGGGTTGCTCCCTCCCACCCCCAACCTCTGGTAGCTTTCCACACTAGCTGGGATTCATGCAAAACCCAACTCAGGCCTGGCTGCTCTGGATTCATATAAGTAAAGCAAATCCCTGGGACCTAGAGGAATAATTTACACTGAGTGTCGTGTTTCATTCCCTTCGAAAAAGACATTTCCTGAACTGTAAGTGTGGCTGGTTATTTCCACGAGCAGGACGTGCTGACTGGCTATTCTGATTATGTCATTTAACCAGTTGTACAAACAAGGGGAGGCCCAGCACCGTGGCCTGGGCCTGCAGCCCTGACACTCAGGATCCCTTGAGCAGAGGTGTTTAGGTTAGCCTAGAGCACCACAGCAAGACCTGGGTCATGACATGATAAAATGCAAAGTAACCAACACATCCAGTGGGACGGAGGACTGCTGGGAGCCTGGAACGTGGAGGTCCCGCTACAGCGCAGGCCAGGCCTCGCCTCCACTGCCTTGCTCTATTTAAATCCTCATCTGCACGGCTCCAGCTCAGCCTTGTCAAGTGGCTTGGGTTATCCTTGGCTCAAAACATTATGTGCATGCTAATTCCACCCCTACTCTTTTTTCTATTTGCTGCCTACCACCAAAATGGCAGTATCTGGTCCTGACAAAATAAACATAAAGGCAAACCACTGCTGTCTGATAATGCTTAACATTCATAAAGGACATCCACAGAGTTCCGAAGTTTTTATGTAGCTTCTCCCTTATCAAAATAAAATTACAGAGCCAGAAGCTAGTGGCTCACACCAGTAATTCTAACTACTCAGGAGGCTGAGATTTGAGGATCACAGTTTGAAACCAGCCCAGGCAGGAAAGTCTGTGAGACTCTTATCTCCAATTAACTGTTCAGGAAAAGCAGAAGTAGGGCTGTGGAACAAGTGGTAGAGTACTAGCCTTGAGCCAAAGAAGTTCAGGGAAGCAGCCAGGCCGAGTTCAAGCCCCAGGACTAACAAAAATAAAAATAAATGACTGAATGAATAAAATTACATTAACCGACCTGTTAGAAAATGAAGACACTAGCTAGAAAAAAAAATAGGGACCTTTATGTTACTCAAGATGCCTTTTATCTTTCAATAAATCTCGAAAGTCTGAGTTCTACATGCCACAGTTACTGAAGCCCAAGGCTGAAAGAATGTCTGCAGTGTCTGCTAGTTCCCCTTCTCAGCTTCCACGTGTACTTAGCGTAACTGCATGATACTAAAGGGACCCAAGGGAATCCAAAAAGCTATTCCTAATCCATAAAATGTACGGTTTAATAAAGAACAAACTGGGCATAAATATATCTCTGACAATAAAATAGCAGTTTTGCCTATTTCTTCAAATCAAGTGGACTTGGCAGAGTTGTTTTACTTTCTGTGGTGTAAAGATAGCTCGTGGACTTCAGAAGAGCATTTGGTGTTCCAGGGAATTGCAGCTGTCAGCTTTCAAAGACGCCATGTGTGTGCCCACATGAAAGAATGCAATGAGCTATGGGAATGTTATCTGGCCTCCTGAAGCAGAACAAAGCTCCACAGCGTCAGCAGGCTGACAGGGGGAGTTGCTCTAATCCATCAGGAAAAGCTATCAAATGACTATCAAATGACAAAAAGTTATCAAATGACTCTTCTACAAGTTGTGCACCACAGACCTTGAAGAGTTTATGATTTAAAACATTCTCAGAAGAACAAACAAAAAGATAATCAGGAGTCACATCTTGAACGCCGAACAGGCAGGCAGGGCCATCTGTAGCATTCTCTTTCTCCTCCACTGTCATCCCAAACCTCATCTCTCCCTTCACCTGAGTGGCAGGCTCCCCAGCAGGGCTGAGTACTGGAGACACACACTTATAATCCTTACTGCATGGAAGGCAGACATTAGGAGGATTCTGGTTCTAGACAAGAAGTGTGCAAGACTCCAGCTCAAAAGAAAAAGCTGGACGTAGTGGTGTAAGTCTGTTATCTCAGCTACCGTAGGAACTGTAAAACAGGAGGTTCACAGTTTTAAACCAGCCTGGGGGAGAGACTGAGATGCTTCTGCAAAAAAAACTGAAGCTGGGTGCCGGCGGCTCACACCCGTCATCCTAGCTACTCAGGGGGCTGAGATCTGAGGATCGTGGTTCAAAGCCAGCCTGGGCAGGAAAGTCTATGAGACTCTTAACTCCAATAAACCACCAGAAAACCAGAAATGGTGCTGTGGCTAAAGTGGTAGAACACTACCCTTGAGGTGAAGAGCTGAGGGACAGTGCCCATGCCCAGATTCAAGCCCCTCGACCGACAAAAAAAAAAAGAGCTAAAGGTGGGACTCAAGCGGTAGAGCACCTGCCTATCTGAGTTAAGTCAGCAGATCTGGGGGCGCAGCTCAGTGGCAGGGCACACTCCTAACACACAGGGAGCCCAATTCATTTGCTGGGTTCCTTTAAAGGGCCTAAGCCAGCGGGCTCTCCAATCTGAGCAGGCATCAGAACCTCAGAATCACCTCAGAGCCAGGAAACCTCAGTGGCTAGGCTGGGCCTTTCTGGAGGGATTCCATTCAGCAAAGAATCACAACTCAGAATGGCTGGGATTTGCATTGGAAACCAACTCTGAGCTAATAAAACTAGGACAAGAGAACAAGGAATTGGGGAAGAGCTTTCTGAAGACTAAGGCACAGATCCTATAACATCAACACTCCTAAAGTCATTTTACTTCTTTATATATGTACCTGTAGTTGTAGTTCTGGCCTTGGTTTTTAATGCATATACAGGTATGAAACTGGAAACAGAATATATTTTACCATTAGGGCTACCTGAAGTCACAGAATAACATATTCATAAAGTAAAAGAATTGCTTAAAAAATAGCCCATCCAGCTGAAATCCAGGAATCTTTGGGAGGAAATTCGAACTCAGCCTGCTATGGGTCTGGAAGTGCCAGTGAGGTATGCAGGCCCAGCGCTTTGGGTTTACAGGAATCTGCCAGGCAGTGTCACTGGGGAAGAAAGAGCTGGGGGGCGGAGAGGTGATTTCTACAACAGTACCAACTACTAAGTGAACACCAGAAAATGCAAAACCTACAACTTGAGGTGCCCAAACAGCAAAACTAGAGGGAGAGTCCATCTGACCTCAGAAGATAGAACGTGGGACAAAGAAAGGTCAGAAGAAAGAGCTGAACACCAGAGAGGAAGGGAGCCGAGCACACAACCAACTTAACAAACATGTTAAGACATTTACTAACTGGACCTTAGCAATAACTTGAATCTTGCCAAACAGGGAAGTATAGATCCATGAAATGCCCAGGCAGCAGATTTACCATTTTTCTTAGCTGGCCATAGTGGTGCATGCCTGTGTATCAGGAGGCTGAGGCAGAAGGATCACAGTTCCATAAGTTTTTTTTTTCTTTCTTATAAACAAAGAAACAAAAATAGACTGGTAGTCCTAACGTCAGATTGTCCCTTTCGGAAGAATTACAACGCAGTATGTCAGGACATTTAAAACAATACCACCGGAAATACACAAAAGCTGTTTTCCGCTATGGGTTAAGTCAAGAAAAAGAAATCAATACTAAGGGCTGTCCACCCAATCCCTCTTTAATAGACAGATTCTCAAGGGAGCTCCCCCTCCCCCCACCCCACAGGCCATTGAGGCTCTGAAGATAGAGAAGGGTAAAGGTCAATGAACAGCACACCACACCAGCCACTCAGCCTCCAGCCACACTTCTGCCAAGATTTCTGTACACACCACACAGAAACCTGTCAATAACTCATTCCACTCAGCACAAAGCGGGCTGGCTCAAGTCAGTGGGTTAAAAAGAAACTATAAATAGAATGGCCCAGTTTAATTTGAGACAAATACTCTGTACCTTCTTTGTAGCCCCAAATTTCCTCAAATCATTATGGGAACAAAAGGGGAGCAAGCTGCTTTTAACCCTTAGTATCATCTCCATAGCAAGTTTCAGCAGAGCTGGGGAGGGGTGAAGTCACTGCAGAGGCAGCCTTCTGCTGTAAGCAACAATTAAACCAGCAGAAGAGAGAGGTGCCCGCAGGACCAGTGACCTGGTTTCTCGGGCAGATCAATGGCAGGAAAGAATCAGAAGGAAAGGGAGATGGGCAGAGCCAGGCAAGGATTTAAAAAGCAAAGTAACCATAGACGCAGAATCCACACAATTTCTAAAATGACATTTTCTTCTGAGATAACTGAGAAAACCTGAACATTTCATGTGGTATGAGATACTATCAAGGAATCATTAATATTTTAATGTAATGAGGCTTAAAAAAGAGAAACACTCTTTAATAGAGAAGCTTGGAATATTTATCAATGAAAGATACCAGCAATCTGCTTTAAATGGGGGGTGGAGAGGATGGAAAATTATTGCAAGATGACGGTATCAAAAATGAGTGGTGGGTACATGGCATGATTGTACAATTCTCCACTTGGATAAGCCTGGAATTTTCCATGACACCAGGTTTGGGTTTCTGTGGAATTTTTTAAACAGAAGCAGGTAAGTGAGAGAGGTGAGAGCCAACTCAAGCGCGGAGGCCGTCCCTGCGAGGCCAGCCCTACGCATGCCGCCTGCCCCGTGGCTGCCTGGGGGAGCGGGGACAGGGACAGGCTCGGCTTGCTCTGAGCAGTGTGTGCCAAAAGCAGATCACAACTGTCCATTTTTAACTGCAAGTAAATCTGACTGGACTCCCCAGCTTCTATGAAATGCAGGGGGCAGGGAGCACACACGGCACGCAAAACCTTCACACATGAGAGGAACACAGGCCTCACCAAAATGACCCACCAGGATCCTCAGGATTCACCTAGAGACCCTCTGCTGCCAGACTTTTTAGCCAGCCTCTGTGCCGATGAAGAGGACTGATTCATTTGAATGGGCATGGTGGTGTACTTGTACAATCCCAGCATCTAAAGGAGAATAGGGAGGACGCAGAGGTAGAGGGTGGCCTGGCCTACCCAGCAGGGACCGTATAGGACTACGGCACAGGAGGCTCCAGACAGAACACAACCTTGGTGAATGAAAAAGGCATATTTCACCTAACTGCCAGAATTTGGAAAGCAGAGTCAAAAGGCCCAGGAATGAAGTCCAGGGGGAGACAAGTGAGATGAGATGAAAGGCGGAATGAGAACATTTCTGAGGAATTGACCTAAAGCTTGAAACCTGATATGCATAGGATTTGAGTTAAGCAAGGAGGGCTGGGAAGGGACAAGGTGGGGCAGCTTCTGAGACTAAGAGGCCCCCCACCCCTCAAGCTGTGCTGCTCTGCCCCACCCACTGGCCACCTATCTGAACCCGGCCCTGGGGATGGGGGTTTAGGAGTAGGGGTTGGGGTGGCAAGACCACCCCCTAGCCCTCAGGCCTCTGCATGCATGTACTGCCCACATTTGTACAAAGGCATCATTTCACTGTATATGAGGGTCTGGGAGGGCGTGGCCATCATTAGGCTCCACCTCACCTGCTCACCACCTGCAGAGCAAGCATCAACACCTCCCAGCCACTCAGTTGGTAGCCAGCAGGATTTGTACCTAGTCCCTTTACCCTCCGGTCACTCACTGCTAGTCTTAGAAGAAAGACAAGACACACCAGAAAGCAAAGAGAACCCAGCCAGAAGAGCCAGAGACAAGAGAAAGAGAGACCATTACACTGAATGAAATCAGCCAAGCCCCAAAAGCCTATGTGGAGTCTAGGTGTTAAGTCATCAAAGAAATAATGGGCCGAGACTGTAAAAGGGGAGACTGTTGGGGGAACCAGCATGAAGAGGAGAGGAAAACCAGAGGGCACTGCGGTCAGAGGATCGAAGTCTATTACGGGCCGGGCGCCGGTGGCTCCCGCCTGTCATCCTAGCTACTCAGGAGGCTGAGATCTGAGGATCGCGGTTCAAAGCCAGCTCGGGCAGGAGAGACCGTGAGACTCCTATCTCCAGTAAACCACCAGAAAACCGGAAGTGGCGCAGTGGTAGAGCGCTAGCCTTGAGCTGAAGAGCTGAGGGACAGCGCCCAGGCCCAGAGTTCAGGCCCCACAACCGGACCCAAAAATAAATAAATAAATAAAAATAAAACACTGAGAAATCAAACAAGCCTTCCAAAGGCTTGCACCACCCCATGCGAACACTTCTCCATCCCCATCCCTAAGAGCCAAGGAGCTCAGTTCAAAGGCTGGGGATCCTGTGTCCACCTTTGGAGGATCTCAGCACAATGGTACCTCCCCTCAGCAAATCTGGAGGGCAAACCTGAGGGTGCTATGAGCTGGCGGCTGCCGCTGCCTCATCCAACCTCCACTGCTGCCCTTGCCACCAGCACCATGTAACCACTTCCGGCTGAAGCAGCAGCCTGAGCAGGCAGGGGAATCCCTGACTTCCAAATCACACCAAGCTCAGAGCTCCTCCAAGTCCATGCCCTCTCCCTTTGCTATGGGAGCCCACAGACTCACTTTCTTAATGTTGCTGGTATACTGTTTCATTGCGATTTTTTCCACTGTACTTTCAAAACCAAAAAAGGATTTAATATCTAAACTTGCAGACTGCTCAAAACAAGTCCAGTCTTCATTCTCGGGGTGAACCTGCAGAGAGAGAAAAGAGCTCCACTAACACACTCAACGCTAAGACCTACTTCACACCGTTCATCCTCCAACTGGGACCCCAGAGAAACGTTCCTACCAATGCTGCCATGGGGAAAGCAGCAGGCAGGATTACAGAGGGGTTGAAAGCCATGACAGGTCCCAAAAGTGACTACAAAAGCAGCCTTGGTTTTCACTCCCTCAGCTCGCGCATGGAGCTGGGTCCTCGCGTAGGGAAAAGCAAGAGCACCGCCTGGGGCAGGTGACAGCCTCGCCTGGGGCAGGTGACAGCCTCGCCTGGGGCAGGTGACAGCCTCGCCTGGGGCAGGTGACAGCCTCAGCGCACGGCGCACCTCCGGAAGGGAGGACTGGGGGCGGGGCAGGCTGCGGCGGTCACTAGAGTGGCCACGGCAGGCATTAGTGGGCTAAGGCTGAGGAGGGAACGAAGAAGTCCTTGGGGAAGCTGCCTCGTGTCTGGGGCAGCAAGACAGTCAAAAAGCCTTGGGCACAGTGAAGGGACAGCGACAATGTGAGTAGGAGAGAGGGAAGGGAGGCTCAGAAGCCGCTGAAGTGGAGAGCTGGGAGGCGGGGCTATTCTAATGAGCTGCCGGGAGCTGTGCCAATCAGAGGAAGCAATACAGACAGAGGCTGTCAGCACTAATCTTTTGGCTTCTTTTATATTTTGTGGTACTAGGGGTTGAACTCAGGGCCTCCATCACTCGTCTCTTCTCTACTCTTAAAGAAACACAGTATCTTAGTCTTTCAAATACATTTCTGAAGTATTAGAGTCGGAGGAGAAGAAAAGTCATCTTTAAAACCAAATCAAGGCATCCTTGGCTGACTTGTTAAGAGCAACCACACTGTGCTCCAGCCACAGCTGCTACCTCCTTCCCGCATCCGACAGCAGTGATGCCGGTGTCACAGCAGCGGCATGGTGCTGCGAGGCCCCAGTGGCCCAGGGTGGGGGTGGCCACTCACCGTGTAGCAGCAGTGCTCATTAATGATGACCCGGTTAGAAAATGTTTCATTGTGGGCCTCAATGTGCAAAGTACGTTCCCGAGAATTCAGGGAGTTTTTCTGGACAAAATAGACATAATCCACTCCTGCGATCTGTAATGAAGAAGTACAGAGGAAAGGCTTTATCAACACCTCCGGTCAGGCAGAAGCTCTAAGCCGGCCACTCATCCTCACTGACCTTCTTCAGTAGCCTGGGGGCATCTATGTCCAGCTTGCAGCGCCTCTCAATGACGTGAATAGCCCCATCTTCACTTTTGAATTCACTCACAGTGTCACTGTCCACGAACATTGGGATCAAAGGACAGGTAGGGAACCTCCTCTCATAGGCCTATGGTCAAAAGAACATAGACAGGAAGGAAGAGTGGGCCTGGCTCTTCTCTGGAGAAAGGAGCGGCTCTCCATGCATGCCCGCCCACCCGCAGCTTCCATTAGAAAGGAAAGCTACCTCATGTTCATGGAACAAAGACTCAACTATAGAGGGACGCTGGTGGCTCACCCCTGTAATCCTAGCTACTGAGGATCATGGTTCAAAGCCAGCCCCCTGGCAGGAAAGTCTGTGAGATTCTTTTTTTTTTTTTTGTCTTTTCTTTTTTGGTACTGGGGATCGAACCCAGGACGTTGTACTTGCTAGGCAAGCGCTTTGCCACTGAGCTACATCCCAGCCCAGTCTGTGAGATTCTTATCTCCAGTTAATTACCAAAAAGCCAAATGTGGCACTGTGGCTGCTAGCCTTGAGCAAAAAAGCTCAAGAGTCAATGCCCAGGCTCTGACTTCAAACCCCACAACCAGTATCTTCTCCTTCTCCCGAAAAAGACAACTTTAGAGGATGTCTGCTCTGCTCAACTGGATGCACAGGCCTAACACAATTCCCACCAACCTCCCGGCAAGATGCAGGCAAGAAAGACTGCAAAGAGTTGATAGAACTGGTGCTCTCCTACTTGAACCTCTAAGCTCTGGTTTTTGCTGGTTAGCCAGAGATGGAATCTCCAAGTCTTTTCTTTGAGCCACAATCTTTCAATATCAGCACACTGAGTAACTAAGATTACAGGAATGAGCCATCAGTGCCTGATTAAAAACATTCTTGTTTTATTAGAAACAATATAGGTAAGCCCTAGCTCTAACCCACTGGAAGAGCCTGGACGCAATGACAGTTGTGGTAAGGAAAACTCGACATGCAGATCTCTGAAGCATTTCTTTACACAGAGAACTGACATGAACATGTATGTCCAAAGGACACCAGGAAGCAGCCCAAAAGGACCCCAGCCACCAGTCTGAACACCAGAAAGAAAGACGAGGTATAGCATTATAAACTACAGTGCTACTAAGAAAAGTGGCCAGGGAGAAAGTGTGTCAGCGAGGGAGCTCCCTGACACTGTGTCCGGGAGGAATGTCAGGATGAGGTAAGGCCTCTGCACAGCCGGGAATGTGGTCAGGAAGCCGCACGGACAAAGGTCTGCAATGGACCCCATTCCAGAGCAGAAAAGTGGGTCTCCAAGTATTATCCTGCAGTCAAGAGTCACAATGGTGCCAGTATGATGGAAAGATCTAGTAGGCACCACCTTAACTGAATCCCTGGACTTGGGGCCAGTAAGGACACAGTCTGGCAATATGCCTGCACTGGGAGGTGGGCGGGGCCAGAGAGGGCTCTCCAGCCCTCTGCATGTGCAGCCAACCTCGAAACTATTCATGGGGAAAGCAGAAGAAATATTCAGATTACAAACTGCATTACACACACCCAGCTTGAACTCAACAGAAAAAAACTGTGTCAGAAAAGAGCCTAGAATAGAGGCCTCTGAGGAGACAGGCTGCCTGGTACAAGGAGGCCTTAGCTGCTGGGCAGGAATGGCCACAGCCACCCAGAACCTGGAGAAAGACCTAGTGTTCCCTATTAAATGAGATGAGCCCATCACAGTGGAGTTCCTTGGCTGGTCACTGCAGTGCGGAAGCAGCTGGTCCTAGGCAGGCACACTTTGGAACTCAGGGAAAGTGTCATGACTCTACATACACTTGTTTTCAGATGTTCCTACCCCCCCCAAAAAAAAAATGACAGCAGCTGGTGGCTCACACAAGTAACCCTAGCTACTCAGGAGGCTGAGATCTGAGGATCATGGTTTGAAGCCAGCCTGGCAGCAAAGTCTCTTGGGAGACTCTTTTTTTGGGGGTCCGGTCATGGGGCCTGAACTCTGGGCCTGGGCACTGTCCCTCAGCTCTTCAGCTCAAGGCTAGCGCTCTACCACTTGAGCCA